CTGCCATGCTTGGATCCAGATACTTGAGCTGTTGAAGTATGCAGATTAGAAAACACCCATTTACCATTTTATAATCAATCTGAAGACTTAAGAAAATGTATTGTACAAACCAAGAAATGCTTTGAAAGACAAAAACAGAATAAAATGGTGTGTTAATTCTTAATTTAGATACATGAAGGCATCAACAGGCATTAGCGGATTATTGGTAATTTATGTTGCTGTCTTTGATTTCTTGTTCTTTAATGATTTCTCCAAATTGGCTGTTTGAACTGTTATTACTTCCTTGCCATTCTTTTCATTTTTACTCACTACTCACACTCATACAAATGTCTCAAGCAAGGTCAAAAGTCACACAGCTCAGAGTTAATGAACGCTTAGGGTGGTTATAGGCCGCAAACACAGAATAACAAGTGAAATGATTTTGACACCATTTACAGAGCCGTGCCTAACCAAACAGTCAAATAACACATGCTTGGATGGAGTATTAGTAATACCGTTTTGCAAATGTGATCCACAATACTAACTTATGCATGTGAACAGTGGTCAGCTGGTCAGATTAGTTAATCACCACCTGACTGGTCAAACCTTACACCAATGACTTCTTATGCTAATGTTTTCACACACAAACACAGAGCATTTCTTTCACTGTCGACTGTAACTGCTTTTTGCCTGAACTTCATCTTGATCTTAAACCAGGTCTTCTTGTTAAAATGAAATATTTTACTTATGATAACCACAGTGCCCGCAGTGTAACTGTGTAAGAGTCGTGGTCCCACAACAAGAATAATACTCACACTAAGTTTACACTAACCGCGTATACACATTATTATAATCCACTCTTTGTTTTTGTCCCCTGTGCAGGAGCTGGAGGTTGGTCTCCTCTGGTCTCAGACCGATACCAGTGGTTGGAGGTGGACCTGGGGAGGAGAACCCAAATCACTGCTGTTGCCACGCAGGGCCGCTACGGCAGCTCTGATTGGCTCACGGCCTATCTGTTGATGTTCAGTGACACAGGACACAACTGGAGACAACACCGGCAGGAAGACAGCTTAGGGGTAACTGTCACGGTTGTTAAAGAGTGGACTCAGGCGCGGAGCTCAGAAATAATGACAGTGCATTTATTTACAGTGCAGCAAGGTGACAACAGTTCAAAATGTGCAACGATGGTGATAGTGCGTCCCTCCTTCCGTGTAAGCCCGTGCGTGGTAGTGAGTGCCCGTCTCTCCTCCAAGTGCTTCCTTTGTGTCCGTGAATCCTCCGTCAATCCCTGGGTGAACACACACACGACAGCAAAATGAGTACGAAGATCAGACAGTACTTCAATAACGTTAGCGACTCGAAAACACTACCAGGCTTAGTGCAATACTCCAGCGCTGTCTGTCGCTCAGCCACACCATTAAGTAGCCCTGCTGAAGATGGTCGTTGATGGGCAGCAGCTGGTGGATTGACTACAGGTGTGGCAGCTCTGGGCGACAGCACTTCCGGGTCGGAGGTAGCCTGTTGCTAGGTTACCTCCTAACACACAGCGGAGCCGGAGGGGAAGACAGGGCGATAGGAGAGACACACGCACACAAATATACACACACTGGCAGGTCGACCGGTCAGGGCGCCGTCAGATCCTGACAGTAACTCTTCTTCCGGTGGCAGGATTACATAATAGTGTTGGGTGTGCAACATATTTGTGCAGTCACCTGATGGAAGTATGGATGTCCATGTCAATCCATCATCTTGTTGTAGAAAAGTACATATTTTTTAACTGATCGTGAAAAGATCATAGATATTTAACAAAAAATGCACACAAAAAGAAACCCCCACATGTGTTATATAATACAGATTTTAACAGCTAAAAATACAGTTTGTCCAGGCAGTGACACTCTACAATACAGTTGACCTAACTGTCATAGACATTATTTAACATTATCTGTGGGGACTGGTACTGCCTGCAGCAACATGGCGTGCTCACCAGGAGCCTTTCACTATTTATTAATAATACATGGAACAATGAAAGGAACTTGGGCAGGAGTCTGTTGACGGTGTGTGTCTGCTGTCAGACAGTTTAGCCTGTGCTGACAGGAGGTTGGTGCTGTTATGAGAAAGACCGCCTGGCGTAGAAAAACTCCCAGCTTTGATGCCTGAAAGATGTCCATCACCAGTCTGCAAGCAGGTCGCTAAATGGGCGCTTCCGAGCTCAGCCGCTTTCGATAAGTGTGGCGGCTCTTAAAATGTAAATGTGCAGAAGAAATTGGTGAGAAAGCTCGCTGAGAAAAGCACGCGGTGACTTAAGTACCTAGTGCTGCGGTTGCTTTACGTCTAAATATATTCCCCATTTCTTTTTCTCTCTTTAATTTTTTATTTTTCCAGCGTTGTTTCAATAAAAAAGAGAATACTAGACTGGGAGAATGACTGATCACCAATGAGCAAAGTACAGATGTCAGAATGACAGGCAGCCATGCAAGCCTCGGCTGACTGAACAACATTTGATATGTCACGCGTCTCCTCCCTTCTGTGTGGAAGAAAGTGCAGCTTTCACTACAGCAGCAACCCAAAGGAAACTTTTTTTTTCCCCTCACATTTGACTGGGTACAACTTTTTCACTGTGAAGGATACAAACTCTCCAAAGCCCTTTAAGTCATCACTAAAGAACAAACTCCTTGTAGCTTAAAAACATGTTGATTTGACAGTCAGCATGAAAGGCGCTGAATCCGCATCAGCTTTTAGAGCACTTTTAAAGCTTCGTATATTAGTCAGGCTTGCTTAGCGTCTCTGTGATGGTGAGAATTTTACTGCAAAAACAGCTGCATCAGTCACAGCTTCTCACTGACTTGTGAGGTAAAGGTAGAAACAAAGTCTCTACTCAGGTTACTTTCATTTATTTGATGGTTAGAGTCACTAACTACTTCATGGATTAAAAATAGCATAAAATTAGATCCCATCATCAAGCAAGTTGCATGTGGAGTCTTACTTTATGATGCCACATGTTTCAAATGTTTTAAAGTGTGATTCAAAAGGAGACTGTGCCCATAGAAAACAAACAGAAAAATGACATTAATTAACCTTTTATCATTCACTCTTACTTTTTTGGATGTTTTCTTGAAGTCCCAATCTGACCATTCGCATTTCACCATTTTTCTTCAAACTTGAGTATGCACTAACTTGTTGTGGGCGGGTCTTCCATCCATGATCATGACCTATCCTTCCCCATCATTCTGCAACAAAGGAGTGGCTAAAGGAGAAGCACATTAAGCTCATGGAGTGGCCCAGCCAGTCTTCAGACTTCAGTCAGCTTGAAAATCTGCAGAGAGAGAGATGACATTTTCGGTGACATAAAAATCAAATTAGAACTTTCATGTAATGTGTTTTATTTCTAGATTTTTTCACTGATATTCTGTCTCTCTCCATTATGAAACTACCAAAGAAATAAGAGACTGTTCATTTCTTTAGAAGTAAGCAAACTTACAAGTTCAGCAAGTGATCAAAGAATTGATACCCCCACTGTACAGTATATCTCTGGCTTCAACCCAGATACCAAACAGCAATCTCAAATCCTAAAGAAAGCACATCATGTCAGAAGCATGACCAAGACAATACTTGTCATTAAATTCGACCTTTAAGGAGTTATGCACTATGAAGGCATCCCTCAGCATCCCCAGGATTTCCTGTGCCACAAACATGCTTCTGGGATGCGATCCAAACATTGTCGGAAAACCAGACCACCATAAAAACATCTGATTTTGGCCCATAGGGTGGCAGGCACAAGAGTTTGGTTGAGATTTAAAAGTCAGTGCGTCATTTAGAAGTTTTTTTTAAAGCCCACTTATGATAATTTACCTCCCTGATAAATTAAAGAGGAGCAAATGAGGTTAACAAAGCTGGCAGCTCTCCTCAGAACTTCCTAAGGAGCAAAAGTCATTAGCATGGCAACAAGTATATTTCAGCAAACACCCCATTTAATTTAAAGTGAATAATCTAGCTTCACTGTGGGCAGCTATGCAGTGAAATGCCTATGTTGACTGAAATGTCACTTGAATAACGTGTCTGCCAACATTATTTTACTGCTGATTCCAAACGTTCTTTTCTTGTAGCTCCTTTTAACGAAGGACTTTATTGCATAATTCAGTATTTTTATATTGTCTTGGTCGTACCAACTACGCCAGGCACAGTTCCTCTGCGATTCCTTTGTCATGCCCTCTCATCCTCTTCTTCGACTCATTCTCTGGCCATTCCTCTCTCCTTGACTGAAGGCTTGTCAGAGGCTACTCATATTTCAAAAGATGCTCGGGCAAGTAAATGAGATGCTGCTCTCCTCAGCAGGAAACAGAGCCATTTGTTGAGCTTAACGCTCTGCTGCCCAGCCGGCTCAGCCCTTCAAAGCACTGAAGACAGCACTGAGATCACAATTATGCAGTGCCAGAGAAGCCAATTTCTCTCACGCAGTTACATCGGTACACCCTCAGCTGAGTCTCTCACACAAACACACAGGCAGCATCACACAAGCGCTCCAGATAGGACACAAGCAAAGGACATGCACACGAACACATGGACACCTACTCTATACCGTATATGCAGCTTGCTCTTCTTGTTTTCTTCTTACACATATTATTGCAGGTGTTTCGCTGTGTGTGTGAGTCCTGCTGGATTCCCACAGGCAGCTGATTGGGAAAAATAGAAGCCATTAGTCTTTTAAAGAGAGGCTTGCTACGGAGACAGAATAGGTCCAAGTTATTGATCACTGGACAGAGATGAGGGAGAGGGAGAGACATTATCATTACTTAGGACCAATGGCTTCGGTGAGTTCAGAGTTTGAAAATGAAGACGGCCTCAGGGCAGAGGAGGTTTGGGAGACTTTTTCTTTCCACTGACAAGGAGATTTGCAGCCCTCGAATATGGAAAACTTTCAATGTATAATGGTCCTATCTAGCTTTTAGTCACCATTATGAACACTTAATGAGAAGCATATCTATCTGCTTTCCTGATAGAGGCATCACCCTTTAGTGTCTGTTATTGCTATTACATCATTATTACATTATTCCATTGTTGTTGCAGCAATCAGCTGACTGAGACAGAGTGTAAGAATGAAGAAAACGGTAACTGTAACAAACATGTAACTGTATTGTTGCAGGCTTTTCCAGGTAACAGTAATGCTGACACTGTGGTCCAGTACAAACTGGAGCAGCCGGTCATAGCTCGCTTTCTTCGTTTAATCCCACTGGACTGGAACCCCAGTGGGAGGATTGGCCTCAGACTGGAAATATATGGATGTCGATATAGTAAGTAACTGTGAATTAAGTGTTATGTTATAGCAATTATAAATATATCCAATGTTTATTTTATCATAGAATATTTTGACCTTAAGTGACATATAATTATGTTATCAACAGTTAGTTGGTCTTGATTGCCTGTCTTGAAGTCTTTAATGCCCGACTGGCTTCAACTCATTTTGAACGCTAAAAATGTAAATGTGTTGTGGCATTAAAAGTGTCTTCTTTTAAAATATTACAAATGGCAGTTTTGGCTTGTTATTGTATTACAAGTATTTTGCTAGCAGCTAGTTTTGTATCTTAGAATGTAAAGTCAAACTTTAGTCAATTAATTTAAATCCTGATTTGTTGGATTAAATCTACACAGATCGTCTCTATCAAATTTGGATTATGGTGTTTAAATGTGGTGCGGAAAAATAAGAAATGGTCCATGGAACACCTTGAAAGTTATATTAATCCTGCAGCATTATATACAGAACAAAATTGTTCATTGTTTTTTTTTTTTTAGAAAAATAAATTTAAAATACTCCCACACACATAGGCAGAAACATGACTTTGGTTTGATTTTGCTCTGGTGTGTGATGTGAGTTATACAAACCTTTTGCAGTCAATTTAGAAACCATTAGTTCTGAGAAAAATAAGCAGTGCTATTCAAACACTAAGCCATGCACTAGAATTATTGGGTGTTGTGTGTGAGATGTACAGACACCACATGGTTTTAATACAGAGTTCAATAAGAATTGAAACAATAGAAATGTACATGCAAAATGCCTTCAAGCAATCCAAGCATTTCAAGGCAGCAGCAGCAAGCTTTGCTTCTTTGTAATTGACTTAACTAAATGCCAGTCTTGTTACTTGGTGTTGTACCCTACCTATAATAAAGCTATGGTTTGTAAAACTGTACTTCTCTCTGAGTGACAACAGGGCTTAAATTCAACTAGTGAAGCCCACTGATCAATCGCCATCGCCTCTTTATTTTAAAATATACTAAAGAAGTTTCACAAATTGAGCATAGCATTGAACATAGCACCAAAAGGAATGGTCAACTCTGGGCTAAATCATATGGAAAAGTGATGTTAATGGGGTTAAATGTGCTTGCTGAGTAAATAATTTCACCAAGAGATCCAAATCTGTCTAGAAATATTCTTACAATTCTGTGAAATTCATGATGTTAGAAAAATGGTGGCAAAGACAGAGTTTGCACAGT